ATCTGCCCGTTAGGACTGGACACATTGTCACGATACCCGATCTAGAATTTTTTTCAATACCGGGACTGATATAGTAGGTCTGGGCATTTATTGTATTACTTATCATGATAAATTTCTAATTATGATAAGAATTTTGATTTATCGTTGCAACGATAAATTCTGATTAGTGATTTTTAAAACCCCCAAAACTGTCCAGATTATTTCTAGCCGTCTGGACAGCTAGAAATAACAGTCAATAAATATCAATACATTTAAAATTATGATTAAATACAGATACTGTTTGCAGTTTAGCGATACGAATCACATTTTTTTATGTGACGGGAGTCCTAAAGAATACATATTACAAATGGGTATGTTTTTACCTAAAAGAGGAGTATTGAATAATTTTCATTGCTACATTTATAGTTAGCACTTTAGGATCCAAAAATACAGTGATAAAACTTTAAATCCATATCGTCCACCCTTATCAAACAGATATTAATATCAGTGCATTCCCAGATGATGCTCATCATATTTGTTTTAGCCACTGCTAACATGGTTGATATTTGTGGCTTTTGCAGGCAGCACGGCAGCGAAGCAGAGGCAGGAGGTGTGGAAGTCCAAACGCGTCTTCTTCCTCACCCCTCAGGTGATGGTGAACGATCTTTCTAGAGAAACCTGTCCTGCAAAGGAGATCAAGTGTGTGGTGATCGATGAAGCTCACAAGGCATTGGGTAACCATGCCTACTGTCAGGTAACCAGCTTTCAGGTCTTTACTTCCATCAGGGGTAAATGCTGAAGCTAATGATTATTATAGCAGTCAAGATGTTCAAGTAATTTAATAACTACTAAATGTATTTTGTTTGCAATAACAATCTTTACATTGATTACAGTAATCATCTGTTCTTCAGACAGATCATAAAGAAAGCAGCAGTGCACTGATTGCAAATTTTCTGGCCGATCACCGATTTTTAAAAATCCTGACTTGCTGATTTTTTTTGTGTGTGCGTGTGTGCAAAATATAGCAAAAAGTTGGAATGACTGTTGTAAACTGTTCAAATGGAGAGTTGACCTGGTTGGCCCTCTCTCATGGCAGAGCAAAAGGAGACAATGGCTGATTACTGTGTAGGGCACACATTGGCTCAAGCCCATGTTTCCGTGCCCTCCTAAGTCTGGCCCAGTGTCACACGTACGACAATACTGTGACCAAAGTCTTCAATATAGTGATGTGACATTCATGAACGAGCCGATTCTTCTGAGTGGCTCTTTACGATGAACGATAGTTCACTGAGAACCGGCTCTTTGCTTTTGTAATGCTCTGCGCACACTGCAGTAGCTATTATTATTCTATTTTATTAACAATATGTATGTATTTAATAATCAAATAAAATACATACATATTTTATTTGTATGTATATTTGTATGTGGTGTGTCCCTGTCCTGAACTTTTGTAGAAGCAGTTAGTTCTACATATATGTACAGTCTTGTGTTTGCATTACTGCTAATATGTTTTTGTTTATGACATTATCATCATTCCTCAGTCAATATATTGACACTTTTCAGTTCAGATCTGTCTGCATGGACTTCATTTTCACATTTTTGTCATTTATGTTTCCTCCCTATCTATCTACCTGTACCATGTTCGCTATAGTTCAACTTGGTGGGGTTAATGGGACTGAAAATAAACACTTTATTTTCTGGACCTTTTTTCTCTCACTCAGGTGATCAGACAGCTGAGCAGTCAGACGTTGCAGTTTCGCGTCTTGGCCCTCAGTGCCACTCCAGGAGGAGACACAAAGGTGACATCACCTCGTCTGTTTTTCTGTAACTAATGTGACTTGAATTTAAATCGCCACGGTAACCAATCTCTGACCCCTCGTCACTTTGTGTCCTTTTTCCAGTCGGTTCAGTCCGTGATTTCCAATTTGCTGATTTCACACATCGAGCTGCGGTCAGAGGAGAGCCCAGACATCCAGGCTCATTCCCACCAGCGGAGTGTGGAGAAAGTGGTGGTTCCTCTGGGGGAGAAACTTTCATACCACCAGACTCGATACCTCCAGGTAGGAACACGCAGAACAGTTGATATAGCTACACTTCATCCTGAAGGACTCACCTAATTGATTCTAATTCAATGGATAAATATTAGAATATCACCCATTTCATTCAGTAATCTGATTCAAAATAAAACTCATGCATAGATTCATTACTGATAATTTTGGGAGATTGGTGATTGGCCGATAATTACATGTGAAGTCGATCTTATCCACCGATCTTGTCAACCTCGGCAAAGGTCTAAAAAAAAAAAAAAATCTGCTGTGAGAGAGGGCTGACTGACAGATCGGCCCACCAGGTCACATCTGCATGTTCGCAGTTAACAATAGTCATCCCCTATTACCAACTCAGCGACTTTCTTGTTACATTTAGCGACATTTTGTACAAAAATCGGCCGAAATCAGAATCGGCAGGTCAGGCTTTTTGAAGATCGTCCAGGATCGGTCGGTCACAGTGTTCATCTTGATGATTATGCCCTACATTTAATAAAAACCCTAAATTAATTTTCCCATAAAATTATATTAAATAAGAACAAAAAAAAAGATTTTTCATGCAGAAATATGGACTTCCTGAAGTTTATCCACTTGTTCAGGCTGCCTGTTGCATGAATTACTGCATCAAGAAAATGAGAGACTCTGCTGTCTCTCATTTTTCTCTTGACACTGCTTACTAGATCCAAAAACCAATAAACAACCGAATAAGGCAAAAAAAAAAAAAATTACACTCCTTTTCATTTTACAGAGGAGTGGAAAAGAAATATTTTCTGTCTGAATTCTAAGAAAGTCTTCAGTTTCCTCCATCAAGTGGTGCTTTTTTTCTCCTCGGTCTTTCAGATGTGAAACAAACATGTTATGGAAAAAATGATCTCTTTAGAATCAGACTCTTTAGAATGGTCTCTTTAGAATCAGACTTTCTTTTTTTCTGCACACCTGTGCAGTTATGCATATGATTTCTTTTTCATTCTACATTTGGCATTAAAAGTTTCACCTGCAGGAATTTATCTGCAGAAATTTACCTGCAAATATGGTGACTTTTTGGTGACCAAATTAATCAAGACCAAGTGGAGTTGAGCGACTTTTCACCATTCAAATTACGCTTTTTGGTGACGTGACATCATCATTTAGCTGCTCTAACTGTTTCACTTGTGATCAATTGAGCGTAATTTCATTGACTAAAACCTGCTTGACTTGATCTTATGCTGACTGGATCAATGCATTTGCATCCAAATTTTTGTAGGCAAATTTCCTGCAGTAGAGATTTTTGCAGGTAAAATTTTACAAATTAATTTTTCCTTCTGACCTTTTTTGCTGGTGAAATATTTGATAGCAAATTTAAAGTAAAAAAAAAAAAAAAAACATAAAAAATGTGATCTTAGAAAGGTCAGATTCCCATGAGAATATATTTATTTTATAGGTAGTTTGTGTGGTTGTCTGTGAAGACTGCAGGCTAAATAACTTGAGGTTTGATTTGTGATGCTGTGTAATGCACTGTAGATCCGTTTTAGGTGTTTTGCTGCCACCTTCTGGTTATTTCTATTATTTTTTTGTCTTGAATTTGTGGTAAAACCTCGGCATCACATGGCTCTCTCCAGGCTGTGTGGTTCTTTCTGGGTCAGCTAAGATCAAAAGGATTGATTTTTCTTGAAAGCGTCCTCCTGTTTGACTCTGTGGTCAAGCTTTAGTGCTGCCAGACTGCGTTTCGGGTTATTAAAGAAGCCGACCTGCTGCTGCTCCTTTCGTCTCGCCTCAGTGTCTGCGTGTGTTTTTGTAAATGTGCAGCGAGACGGGGTTTTCTGAAACATGGCGTCTGCAATTTAAAGCTTAGACATAACTGAACTTTAAGTTATTTAATTTTTCTAGTTTGTTGTCTTTAATTACAATCAGCCGCTGGTCGACCAGCTTCCGTCCTCTGCAGTTTGGCGTCCAGTGAGCATTACTGCAGCCAAGCAAACAGAATTAAACAACTGCTGAGAAAATCAGAAAAATGAGCCAGTCATGCAGGCAGGTGCTTGTTTTGAATTTTTCCAGCGACAGTTATCGGCTGATTTTAATCCCCAGTGTTCATCTTGACTGCTTCTCTTCTTTCCAAGTTGTTTTTGAGACAGAGGGAGTTTTTTGTGAGTGAACATGTAGTAGCTCAGAAGTAATGTTTTATTTATTTTAAGGTTGAGAGCAATGTTTTAAAACGCTGTAAACATTTTAACGGCCTCTCTTTCACTATAGTTTTGTTTATCCACAAACTTTCCTGCTTAAGGTTTGTCAAATCTTTTGTAAGATGTTTCTATGGGATGTTGAAGGTCAGCAATAAGCATTAAATGGAGTTTTTATGGAGAAATACTTTATTATGCAAAGCATCACCATGTTCTAAATGGATCAAGATCTGGGGTTTCCTGGACATAAACCAAAAGTTTTAATGGTTTCATCTCTTTGCCTCCATGGTTTGATGCCCAGTTGTAGTGGAATAACATAATTTATAACCAGTTTGATCCTTGATTATTGGAGAATATTTTGATCCTACTCCTCATGTATCACAGTGCTTTAGGTAAAATTATCCCTTGGTAAGCCTCAGCGACTGCTTATTACTTGTGTATCATTCACATTTCCTTTTGTTTGAGTCTGAAGGGTTGCAAAGTAGAAAAAAAATTGCCTCAGTCTTTTCTTGGAGATGTTGAGAGCTTTTTTGCCAACCATCTTGATATTTGATGTTACATTTTGAAGCAGGGTTTGATTGTTTTCTGTATTTGCTCTAATAAAAACAAAGCAGCTTGTTGGTTTGATAGAAATCTCACACACACCCATTTTGTCTTTCCTGTGTTAATCAGCGTTATATGCAGTTTGTGCATGCGGTTCGTAGTTAAACTCCTTATTTAAATTCATAAACTGTTTATGTTTAACACTACGACTAAATCCTGGAGTAAAGCTGCGTCGTACAGAGGTACTGGTCAGGTGCTAAGATTGCACATGTCAAAAGACGGGACACCAGCACATTTTATTGAACAAACAGAACACAGTAGCACTCATTTGTTGCATTTGAACTTTCACAGTACATATTATCACCCCGTTGCAAAACACTAAAGAAAAAAGAAGCATGAAAACAGAGCAATAACTAAACCCTCAAAGGGGGGAAAAATCTGCATATTCAATGGCTTTTATGCACATTAATGCTACTGTCATTTGATTTAAATGAATTCTTTGGATGTAGTTGCTCTACAGTCTCAACTTCACACTAACACAAAATGTCATTTTTGTACAACTTTTGATGCATTTTATTAGAACTGTACATTGTATTAAATTGCAGGACAGACTACAACAGGCGCTTAAACTCTGCTGGCCAATAATGTGTTTTGCCAGTTGGATGAACATTATGTCTTTAATGCCTCCATTTAATACACAGCAGCTTTCAGAGTTGAAGCTCAGGGTGAGTTGTGATTAAAGAGGGTAGCGTCACTGAAATATTCCACAATAATACCTCACTGTCATGGTTTTCTAATATCGTACAGCCCTACGTGTCATTAAACGAGCAAACTTAGTCCTTAATCTTTCTTTTTCAGAAATTAAAACAGTTTTCAGCAGAATTTCAACAGCTGCGTTTCCACTAATGTTGAAAAAACACAATTTTGCAATTGCAGTGATTCTATTAAATAAGAAATGGAAATAAAATCTTTTCGCACCATCATCCACTAGCTTCTTCCTGTCATCTTCCTCTTCATAGTCTGCGCCAGTAGCGACATCCGGTTATAACTTGTGTGATGCAAAAAAATATATTTCCATTGCAGTTTTGTGAAATAAACCAATTTCGATTTGGCCAAAATACCACATCATTCTAGCACCAAAAATTTTTTTCCCAAAACTGGTATGTTTCCAATATGCAAATCAGCATAGATTTTCTAGGGGAAACCCTGCATGTGGTTAATGGAAACGCAGCTATAAACAGCTCCATTCTGGAGAAAAACCATCACACAGTGATCATTTATCAGGTCTACATCCAGTTTGATTTCGACACCCTGCAGAAACAAACGCTTTCTTTAATGGAGACAGAACATCAGAAACATCGTCAGCTTAAAAACATTAAAATCAGCTTTTCTAATTACAGCAAATATACTCAGGATTTTTGTGGCTTAATCATCTATTTAGCAGCAGCAGTGTTTGCGATGCACTAGCGAACTCTAACACCGACACAGAGTGGCCAGCAGAAATAGACAACAGGTACTTAGAAATACTTGAGTTTGTGTGTAAACAAGTCTTGGAGCCGGAGGAATGCCTTAATCTTGGATCACTAGCTGAAACACACTGTACAGAATCCGGTGCTGGTTTTGATTGTCATTTAGCAGATCTGTTGGCATTTGGTTTGTTGAAGTGTGATGCCCTGGAGCTCTACATTCATTTACAAACACTTCACCTTCTTTCTGTGCTTAGCTTAAATACAGCTTAGGCCACTGGCTTCGGTCCGGATAAAGTCTCCTGGATCTGATCTGATCAGGGCCTTGAGCTTGCTTCACACTCCCCAGCCTACAGAAACCAACTTGTTGCTTTTAAGTCATCTAGGAAATATTGCACTCACTGCTGAGGGAAAGTATGCAGTGTGTTTAGCATCCCGTTCACCTGTAAGATGTGTTTTATTTTATTCCAGAGGAACAGCGCTGTCCTCAACATGAATGAACGTTATTATGGCTACGCAACAAACTGTGCGACCACTGGGAGCTGCTTCCCGTAGATTGACTGACCTAACCTCAGTGGATCACAAAGCGCTAACAGATGAAACTATCACACTTTACCAAAGGGGGCGCTGTGAGGAAAGGTTTATTATATCCAGCTAGAAGGAGAACAAACTGCTTCGTTTAGCATTGGTTCGTGTTAATGGGTGTATGGCAGTGGTTAAAATCAGGTGAAATAAAGATCGATCTAAAACGAAGGAAAGGGAATGATTTTTTCTCTCTTTTGTAGTTTTAAACTCAAAACCTATCGGTTTTGTAGTATGCTAGGCTGGTGGTTGTTTCAGGGGAAGGATGGTGACTTGAAACGGTCTGGAACCTGAGACTGTAGCTGAGCTAGTTGGGGCAGTGTCAAGAGTTCATGAGGCTTGAGGGTCATAGGTAGGATGGTTCTGTCTGGTCAGCGTCGCTCCAGGAACCAGATTTCATTCTCACGGTTGCTGTGAGCCGGGTTGGTGTAGCCGGCCACGATGAACGAGTTGTTGACGCACACGCCAGGGGAGTCCAGCAGCTCCGCCATGGTGTTGATCTGGTTGATGATGGTCACTTCGTTGGTGGGACCAGTAAACCCCCTGGTGGAAGGATGAAGAAAACGTCTCAGGGTTTTATTTTTATTCTCAGGCTGTCTGGACATTTTTAAAAAGTCTTACATTCGTGTATTGGAAATTAAGGCCTTAAGAGGGTCTTAAATTTAATAAAATAACATAAGTTGACCTTAAATAATAATATTGTTTAAAATAAGATTAAGTGGTTAAATAAAAAAAACACAATATTTGATCTAATTTTTATCAGATTAATCGATTGTCAGAAGAATTCCTAGATTAATCGATCACTAAAAAAATTATTAGTTGCAGCCCTACAAAAGTTTGAGTCATGTGTCAACATCTTCACGGCATTCTGTGTTTACAGGTGGTTTAGACTACCGGTAACTAGCAAGAACTTATTTATTGCTAGTTACCAGTAGCTGCAAATTTAGAATATTACCTGCTAGTCTGGCTAGCAAGCTAAATTATATTCTAGCAACCAATATATTGGTAACTAGCTTAGTTAGCAGTAGCTACTGCAACAATAGCCATTCTAGTAATATCAAGATAGCAAGCTATTCTAGCTTCTAGTCAGCTTACCAGCTAGCAAGAATATATTAGCTAGCAAGAACATAGAAAACCCAAATTATTACCATGGAGCGACAGACAAAAATTACCGCCACTCGGGGAGAAACCCAACGCACAGCATGGTATGGTGACGAAAGTTTAACATTTTTCAGTTTTCTTGTGTCGCGTTGATAGCACAGCTACGTGTACGAGCTAACAATTTCACATGCATAATGTCATTGGTTGGTTAGCTGGAGGAGGGCAAGCAATTGTTGCAAACCTTAAGCACAAATTTATTGTTTGTTTTTGCCAATTGTTCACTTCTGTTGCATACTTTTAACCATATGCATCCCCTGCATATAGTTTTTCAGCCTTAAATTTAATTGTAGGTGACCTTAAAAAGATCTTAAATTTGGCTTGCTGAAACCCGCAGCTCCTATTCTCTACTAACCTTGTGTAGACGGTAGCGGCTGGCCAGACTTCGATGACAATCTCGCCATCATACGGCTGTGGCGGCTGGGCCTGATGCTCAATAGGAAGGTAGTACGCCACAGTCACATCCTGGGAGATCACGGAGTGGTTCTCATCTGTCCGCACTATTGTCACGATGGGCAACGTCATTCCAAGGTAGTCTCCTAAATCAGACAGACATTGGAACAGGACACTTTTATTTCCATGATCCATTCTGATGGGTCATTATAAAGTTAAATACTGTCATATCTGTCATCTTGTGCATCACAATAAATAATGGAAAATCCTTTCCAAGTCAGATGCAGCGTTGCTTTTGGACTCACCTAAGGAGTTCTGCTGACAGATGTATCTCATTATTCTCATGAAACCGTAGCAGATGCTCTGTTCGTATGTGTCCTCACGCATAGTTATGCAAGCCCAGTGGCCCTTTTCATAGTGCCGTTTCTCATAGAGCTGCTCCCCACACTGAGAAGGAAATGGCAGAAATGTAAATAAGATCCAAGCAAACATTTTACAGATAAAATTAAACATAACATGCGAGAAATGTCAACATTTTTAAGTTTTGTTATTATTGATATAGTTCTTTACTCTGGGAATTTATGTGCATTTGGTTACTGCCTTAATGTTCAGCTGCATCTCAGTAAATTAGAATATCATAAAAAAATTAAACTCAGATTCACACAGTGAGAAATATTTTCAAAAGTTTACTTCTGATCATTTACTCAAGTGCTCTTGATGCTATCTCTATACACAATTCAATAGGTGTACTTGAATTTTCATTCAAGTACACCTATTTTCTAGATTTATCTGTGACTTTGTTCTAAGGACCAATCTTTTTCCTTCCACTCAACTTCCCATTAAAATACTTGGATACACTTTGAGTGTACCATCAATTGTGGGCTGGACATTTGCAAAGTAGAAGTCTGCATCTGTGATTTTATTACATTTATTTATTTTAAAAAGTCTCCTATTCAATTAGTTTTTTAATACATAGAGTAAAATTAATAGAAATAAAAGCTTTTAATTTCAGAAATGCCAAACTTTTTAATGTTATTCTAAGTTATTGGGATGCATCTGTGTATCGTTTCATTTTAGTTCACTTAAAATTCACTTTGTCTTGAAACTAATTGGCTGTTTGACTAACCCAGGATTTGTTGCTGTCACATTACGACAGTTTTAAAAATGCTCCAAGAATAGTTTGCCACGCTTGGCCTTTGTTCAACCGGAGTCTCCATCCAAGTTCTAATGAACTAATTAATTCAAGTTAAACCAATTAGCCCTTTTTTATTTATACACTTCCCTAAGGAGTTTAAAGAGCTTGGGTGACTCAAAATGTCCGCACATGACTGGGGCAGAGCATTTTTATGTCCTGACTGTAAGTGTGTGCATGTTATGAATAGGTCATAAAATAAATTAACATTTAAAATATTTGCTTTATTAGGCTTAAACTACAATTCCAGTAAAATTCATATTTTCTTTCCATTATTACTTTAATAGCTACATTGAGTTGCATGTAAATAGGTTAAAGTTTTATCAATATATTTTGTGGTTTTTGGTAATGATAAAAGTGACAATATTACTTCTCTTTTCAGTCCAACAAACAAAAATACTCCTCTGGAAAAACATTCCCATTTGTAATACACTTGTTTTACGACTCCAGTCACATGGGATTTGCATCACTAAACTGCACACAGTAACTGCATTTTATCATATCAAATTTATTGATACTCTCGTTGAACAAAGTGCAGTTTAGAATTCCATCAGTAATTGGAATTTATTATGACAACAATAAATTTATTTATCACGATAAATGATGAGAAAAAAGATAGCATGATCATTTTTTAATAACAGAATAATTCAAACTAAATGCTATTACACATGGAAAAATTATTTCTATTTTTAAAGTTACGGTGCCACATTTGGGGTAAAAAGATTTCAAACTTAACTTTTTTACTATAAATTCAGTGTTTGTCTGCTGATATTATGTTCAAATAGTTAAAATAATATGGTACACTTAATTTTAAAATCAAAATAATTAATTGTTTAGTTTGTTACTTTTGTAATGTTAAAATCAATGGCCACAACAACAAAAATAGTATGCTAATGATATTAGCTTTATAGTAGCTCAGGAACAATAAAGCATCTGGTGTTGACATGTTGGTATGGGGGGGCCCTGGGCCCCAAAAAGGCTTGGGCCGGCCCTGGTACTTGCATGTAAAATCCTCAAACGTCTACAAAGATTGAACTCTAATTTTCTAGGTCCTGTTCCTATTACGCTTGGGTACTTCAAACCAGGTCACCGATATAGTTACTAGAATAACAGCATAAAAAGACTGGGTTACGTAATTAAAGAAGATTAAAAAAGATGGATACCTTCTCTTTTCGCAGTAGGAGGGTGAATGGGATGTGCTCTCTTTGACTACGTCCTTGGTTGTCGCTACTTAGTTGCTGAATTGGTTCTGCCATATCTGTTGAGCAGACAAAACAGACATTGATCAATTTTAAGGCCTATATAAACCATTCAAACCTGGTCAATTAAATTCAGTTTAATCCATGAACCAACTCAGTTTTTTATTTTTTGCGTTCAGCGCAGCACATGTGGTCCTCCTGTTTGTAATCTGTGTGCAATGCCTTCGCCCCCTGCAGCTTCTTGGCTGGCAGTGTTTGCGTTTTGAGTGAGGTTCTGCCAGTAGGGCGGAGCGTATGCCAGGACGCTGCTGGGAGTAACGTTCGTTAGAGCCGACCCGGCCCAATGCCAGGAACAGGAACACACCGGCGTTAGCAGCACAAGTCAGCGTCCGATTCTAACTGAACCAACTTGAATTCAGCCACAGGAGTTCAAACTTGCCGTCGTAGTTTAATCGGGTTTTGTCGGTCAATGCAGTGAAGGGCAACTGGGTCAAAGTGGCCCGTCGTGTTTAGAGGATCAATGATTCGACAGCCAACTAAGCTGCTGTAGAGAGCCATCAACTGAGAACTGATGTGTGTCCATTTTAAAATATTGTTTTATCTGATTAAGTATTCGTACTGCTTGTACTTTTCCACATTTTTCCATCCAGTTTATAATAAACTTTAAATTCTAATTAACATTTATCACTGGACCTGACATATGCAAAATAAACAAAACAACAAAATTAATTTTGGAGTTTCTATAAGTTTCAAACTGTGCTGAGACCAAAGCACCAGACTGAAGACTTCGTCATTCAGCTTTTAAGAGAAAAACAGTAAATCATGCAAAAGGAAATTGAGCTCATTTGACTTTTTTATGCAGTTAATTGATTTATTGGTTTATTAGTTATTACGACAGGCTTTGGCTTTACATGATAAACGTGAAGTGAAAGAATATATATAAAGGATTTCAACTTTTTACTAAAAGTGTGTTTTCTCATTCAGCTTCCTTCCTAAAAAGTCTTATGGAGTAAATGTTAACATTCAGGTTTCACCTCAGATTCTAAAGTTGAATGTCGGTCTGGACTTTGACTAGGCCATGCTTCAATCTGTAGTTGTATATTTAGGGAAGGTAAACCTCAGCCGTAGTCAAGTATTTTGCAGCCTGTAACAGATTTTCTTGGCCCCATTCTTCTTCTCATTCACTCTCATCAGCTTCCTCCTCCCAGCTGATCTAAGAAAAACAAAAAGGCGAGATACCTTCACTGCCACTGGCATGTTTTGTTTCAGAAACGGATCAGTGGCCATTAGAGCAGCACTAGATTTTTAACTGCAGTCGCCACACTGCAAAAACACAAAATCTTACCAAGTATTTTTGGATTAGTTTCTGGTGCAAATATCTTTGTGCACTTAAAATAAGATGAAACCAACTTACAAGTAACTTTTAAGCAAGAAAAAGGAGCTTGTTTTGAGTAAATAATTCCTTAATATTGACTGGTTTTATTGTCAGATTATTTCACTCATAAGATGGGCAAAATGTCATAAGTTAAATAATTTGCCAATGAAATAAGTGCATTTTCATCTTGTTGAAAAGTTACTTATGAGTTAGGTTTGTTTTATTTGTGTATTAAGATATTCATGCTAAAAACCAGACTAAATATTTGGAAAGATTTTATATTTTTGCAGCTAATTGCATGTCAGTGAATGCTAAGAGCTGCTGGGGTGCAATAGTTTGTTGTGAATTAAATTTAAATTACTTTGCATAGCTGGAGAAATCGATTTGTTTTGTTTTGTTTGGAGCACTGTGGTCATATCAGTGCAACACAGTATCAGAACTCATTCTCTTAGGAAACTACTGGCTCCGTTTTAACGTTTATTTGGACAGTGCTAACTCTGTCATCAGTTTTTAAAACACTGATCCTCTCAGTTAGAAAATCCCTGCCAGTGGTTTTGGTCTCGGTTGATGATGAAGGTCTGAGGGTTAAGGGAGAATTTTGATCCCGACACTTCTACTGGGACCCAGTGGCCTCACTAACTGCATTTACAGACAGGTTAATAGAGCAGGAGTGGGCGCCATGTTTGTGGTTTGTCTAAAGCTTCAGGCCCAGTTCACACAGATTAATACAACAAATACATTTTTATGCACTTTGGCCTTTTATCCACACAAAAACTCGGTTTAATATACTTCCTTTCACATGATTCTCAATCGATATCGTCTTATGTTTTTAACTTCATATTTAAAAGTATGGGTTGAACTACACGTTTAGTTCTTGACAGGAAGTCATTGTTGTTTTGATGCGATCTGATTGGCTGACTCAGGTTTGCATGTTTAAAAAAACAACACTCAGGTTGGATTTGTGCTGTTTTATGTGGATGAAAACTTTCCTGAAACCGATCCTGTGTGTAAAATGTTACTTTTTACACAATATCACAGAAATATATTTGTTTATAAAGACCTGGCTACTTGTACAAGGCTTAAATTGTGCCAACTGACCAAAGCTAAGGCTTATGAATACATCTGAAATCAGCTGTTTGATTTTTTAATGTTCTACTTCTGTGGGTTGCCTTACTGTGTTGGACATGCTGGTGGCTAAAGATGGAAAGTGTGACATATAACTCTGATTTTAGAATCTGTAAATGTTTAACAGCAGCCAAAAGTTGGTAAAATAAATGCATCAAGTGGAGAGATTTTTTCTCTATAGGAGCTTGCTTTGAAATCTGAAATCAAACATCTATAAATGTTCGTTTTTCAGGGAGATCTAACTCTTCTTTAAAAAAAAAACACCAAAAAACTAACTGCCTTTTGAAGGCAGCATCCTCTTTCTGAATTTCTGTTGCTACAAAGCAGCTGTAAGCTGAACCAGTAAACAGGAAGTTACCCAAAAAACTCGGAACTGCACCCACAAATTTATCAGAGAAGTTGTTGAATTACAACTTTAGTTATGAGAGGAAACATGCATGTAAAAGCTGATCCTAGAGTTGGATGATTGTTTTTCCAATAGATAATTGCTGAATAAATGGTCAGTTGAAATAGCTATTATTGCCAGATGAAAATTAAAAATATTAAAAATGTTAATTACTAATTACATACATGGAAAAAGTCAGTGGTTTAGCCCTCAATATTAGTGACCTTAATTTTATCATGATTCCGGCCTTGAGTTCACAAATACAAGAAGCTACTTTGAGAAAAATAAACTGACAGACACAAACTTTTTTACAACCATCTGTGCTACTGCCCCAACAGAGGTAAGACATATTTTTGTTATGGTGGAAAAACTAAAATGGTGCCAATTCCTTCTTTTTACAACCAATGAATCTGCTACAAACATTCTGGGAAAATTCTTGTTTTACTTGAAAATATGCCTCTCACAATGTCTGCATTTGAAAAGTGAGACAATGGTAAACAAGAAATATAAAACTCCCATTTAAATGTAGGTTGGAGTCTCAGAAACATTTCGTCTGTATCCCCTAAACATTCACTTACAGTCCAAAACTAAGCCAAACTGCAAAGGCTTAATTTTATTTGACGTACACAAAGCAAACTTTTGTTTTAAAAACAGCGTTTTATAATTAAAGCAGGAATTAAAATGTTAAAGTTTAGCAAGTCTCAATAGGTACATTGTTTTATTCTGCATGTCTAATCAGTGATTAGCAGTTTAAGACTATTGTTATTTCTTGGCTTCACAAGGCAAAAGTCTGTCTCATAAATCACTAAACAAAACATTAATTTAGAAAAGTTTAGGTATACATTTGACAGGATGGAAAATTAAATACTTTTGGGATAACAGCTGTTTGAAATCTCCAACTGCATCACACTGTAATTTGTTTACCTCTTGTGTTTGTGGACATCTAGAAAAGTGAATACATTAAACTAAAAATTAAAAAGTAATTTCAGTCATTTTTTTGTTTACAACTTAATCCCACAAGTTTAAATCAGGGAAAAGGAAGATATGCATGATTCTGTAGGTTGATTATGCTACCAAGTCAGTTAATATTGCTTATTTGTATTCTTTTCTAGTTAAATATAACTTTATACCATTATGTTATACTTTTTTAGTTTGTTCCCTTACAAAAAGAAATCAAGTTTGAAGATATATCACTCAGTGCTGCCTGCGTTTACTTTATTTACCAGACTAGAACAATTTAGTTTACATTTAGTGTAGAGCTTTATTATGTTTAATTGCACTGCAAGTTTTAATTGTTTAATTAACAGTAGGTGAGCAGAATTGTTTGAAATAAATAAAAATTTTCTTCAACTCAATGTTTTCAAGCAAAGTTACGGTTTCAAAATAGCAACATTTTGAAACTTCTGTCTCTTAATGACAGAGATAGAAGTGTCCTCCACCCTGCCCTGCCCTCCCATACCTATTGCTACACACTAAAAACAAAATAATTTTCACAATTTTATACAAAAATACATATTTCTTTATGTTTGTGTGTAAATACCATGCTGCTACATTGTGAGAATTTCAACCCAAGCCTGGTTTATTGTAACATTTATAGCATAAGTAGTAATTTTCCATTACAATTTCTTGTTAACTTTGTTGATTTGTGACTCAAAACTTTGGGAAACTTTTCTACAAATGTCTATTTTTAGCCACGCCAACCCTTTGCGTGAAGAAGACCGTTTAATTGTCATAATCCTAAGTGTAATTATTGCATTCAGTAGTTAGCACTATGTAGCTGAGACACATCTGAAGCGCTGGGACTGTCCTGTCTGGAACTGGTTTGTCAGGAAACTAGGTCACTCTGCGCTGTGGAAAGACCTGAGACCGTTTGTTTTCTAAAGTTCATCCTGACCTTTTTGACTTATCAGACACCCAAAGTAAAGTTTATACTTAAAAAGTAAAGGGTCCTGGAGAGGTGAGGCCACTTTAAAGCATTTATTAGTGAGAGTAAGCTGTGTAAGCCGTAGTTTTTGTGGATTTTTACCTGCAGAAACTTCGACTTGGTGGCCTCTCGCCACTTCCTGCCAGTAATGTAGCAGTCGGTCTGAACCGTCCTCTGCCTCCATAGTTTCTCCCTCCTCTTCCAAGCTGCCGTTGCCCGAATCTGACAGCTGGTCCTCGGAGAAGGACTCCAGGTCCTCCAGGGTGATCATCCCGTGTTGGTCGATGGCGCCGCCGCCGCCGCCTCCTCCTCCTCCGCCGCCGCTCATCTGACAGCCTCCTCGGTCCATATCAGGAGTATTAACCGTCTACCGAGAGAAACAGACCTCGAATGACAGCTAAAACAAGCCGAATCTTTTTTTTTTTTGTCGAAGTAACTGTTGTTTTTCTTTTTACTTCGTGTTCGCGTCGTCCAGATTAGAACAACCAGTACTTTCTAGTCAACAAATTAGGCGCTCCTAAACTACACCCGACGCTCTCAGCCATATTTACAATCACTTGTTTACATCCGACGTGAATGAAACATGTTCCTCAGCTGCTGACACTTTAAAAGAAATCCCTAAAAACCACAGCGAGCCGAGCAGCCGCCACGGTCTCCCGTGCAGAGGAGCGTGACGCTCCGGAGCTGAGGCGTCTGTGATGTTTATGAGGGCGGGCCGCGGGTCACGTGACGCTGCAGGCTCCACAGTCCCCGCCCCTCCGAGCTGTCCGAGGTCTTAGCACCTCTGACTCCTGTGTCCGTCTGAGTACATCCAGTACTTCACACACAAGGATCTTTTCTGTTTCACCCTTAAACCACATATTTATATGTAGAAAGAAACATTATGTGATATTATTTGTGTTTTTTAAATCCTCTAATCATTTCATGACTCTTTTGGAGGTATTTGTGACCATAAAGAAGTTAATTTGCATTGAATTGAAGAGTATGTTTACTTATTTTAAGATAAAATATGTTTGAAAAACAGAGGACTATTATAAACAAAGCTGAGAATGAGCACTAGGGGACAGCCTAAACAGGATTTTCTCTGATCTGTATCGCCGCTGCAACAGCTAACCACCATGTTGTACCCTTCAACATGCACGTAGTGAGGAGGACATTATATAATCCACTATGTTCTGGGAAGGGGAGTGTCTGTGTGAGTCCACACTGAGACTGATATGCACGCTAACAATCCTCCACAAGGAGGTGGAACCTCTCAGGCTCACTGCATGGCCCCGTCTACTACAATCAGCACAGATGGGGCCCTCACTGCTTTGCAGCAACAGTATTTACATTAAAAGTTTGTATAACAACAATTTAATTAAAACAGCTCATAAATTATCATCTCTGCCCATATTTGCAGTGATATTATCATCCAATTCATAAATATGTTAAATTTTTAAATACATATATATTTTAAGTCTATTTTTTAAAGAAATGCAAGCTTTGATTTCTATTTTTATTGTAAGTGTGTTTATATAAGCTTTCTCTTTTAATGGTTTCTTTTTTATTTTTATCCTTATTTCTGGTCTCTTCCTTTATTCTCCAGTAAAAAAAAGAGAGAGTATATAAAAAGCAAAGAATTAAAAACACAGATTATTATACCTGTTCACTTTTCTCCTGAGTCCACTGCTTTACTGAAACAATATTTACATAAATTGCATTGCATTAATACAGTGAATATATACTCTTACTTTTTCTCTCTTCCTTTATTTGCATGTAAAAAAAAATATATAAGAAAAATAAAGAATAAACACCTGCTAAGGTCAGCTGGAGTTCTTATCACACACTTTTCACTTTTCTCATCGATCTGAACAGATTAATACACATTAAAAGTTGATTATCTCTAATTTATTTTAGAAATTCTTTCTAAAAAATAATTAATTTGATCAGCTTGACTTCTATCGATATTGTATCTGTGGTTAGTATCAGCTTTTTATTTTTTTGTGATTTATTTTTACATTTATGCTCTGATAAGTTGATCCTACTTGGTTCACATATGTCAAACCTAAGGCACGGGGGCCAAATCCGGTCCGCCACAGCTTTTTATGTGGCCCTCAACACTCTAGTTAGCCACATAGATAGAAAAACTATATGTATAAATTAATTCAAATCAGTTTTTATTATTTATATACCATCAATTTACATCTATGTGAAAATATGTTCAAATTATTTAACTTTAAGAAGTACTTATCGAATGCAGAGACAACTATTTATCAATGTTTTATCAGTTTGTTGACAAGAATAGCTTTCTTTCAGCCTACTGACTGGCAGTGCTCAGCAACAACACCATTAATTAGATCAGTGTTGGAATTTCCAACAAACCTAATTGGCCTTTGCATTCAGTCCATCCTGGTGTCGAGATGCATGTCAGCTCAGGTCAGGCTGTGTTAATTTTAGCCGAAGCTTTTTCACTCTTTCCTCCGTGCCTTTTAGCCAGGCAGCAGCAAGTTCACACTGAGCATGCTCAGACTGGACATCTTCTTAAGGAAAGTGGTCTGTTTGATGTTAATAGCTGGTAACGCTGTGCTTGAGCGATTTTTGCTCTTAAGCACTTAATCTTATAAATAAATTAATTTCACTACTCATAAAAACTTCTTGTTAATATGCCACATTGATAGAATCAAACTCTCTTTCTTTGACTTTAACATAAAGTATTTACAGCAGTTGAAGGGAAAAAAAATAAGACCAACACTTAAGAAATTAGCCAAAATATTTATTTAAAGTATAAAACAACTTGCAGTTTTCTCTTCTCAACTTTCCCTGTTGTTCCAACCAGTCCAGGCAAAAATGTTGACCTCGGTAATCTGGTTCTGTGTAATCTCATAATCTGGGCTTGACCGTTGTGTACGCATTTCCACACTGAGCTCCACCTGTCTGTCAGTCGACTGTGGAAAGCACAGAGGCCGTTTTCTGCTGGGAATGTGGAAATAAGTCACCATTTGGGCTTAAATTACTGGATAAATTTAAATCTGTGCTCATTTGAAATTCCAAACATTATTGGGAAGAGAAATTTAAATGTAGCTAGAGAAATTAGCATAATTATTTTTATTAAATTATAAAATATACCACGTCAATGTGCCCTTAGCTTCACACTATTATTCTGAGACAATAATATGAACTGATTTCCAGAACAAAACATATTTTAGTTACTCTAACCTGCTTCCAAAATGATTGAAGATCACTAAAAAACAGACATAAATCATAATAAATACAAATTTTTCCAAACACTTTATCACAATTTCTTTAATCTTTGTGGCTCTGAACTGTTTTCCAAAAAAATGTAGTTAATCGTGGTTTAGTCATGATTCAACAAAAATGATAAATCCTTTTTCTGTCAGGTTGTTTCAAATAGTGATGTTTTAACAAATTAAGTTATTTGAAAACTTAATTTTATATTTCCAAAGGTTATATTTGTACGTTAAAACAAAAAGGGTTGTTTTATATTTTTGCTGGGTTTTTTTATTATATAGATCCTTAATTTCTGTACAAAGACTTAATAACCAAAATAATACGACATATTATGCAAAATTTATATTTTGCATGTTTTTGTACTTCCATTTAGGTCTTTACAGCTTCCAAATACACCCCACGCAGTTTCTTGGCAATAAGTTAATGTTTTTTAGCATCTCAAAAACGACCTGATTCAAAAACCTCTCACCTAGCAACCCCAGCAAAGCCTGTCCGTTACCTAGCAACCCCAGCAAAGCCCGTCCGTTACCTAGCAGCCCAAGCGGAGCTCCAGCACGTTCAGTCAGCTGGTTTTACTAGATTTAAAGTGACAGGCAGCCCTAAAACAGTTCAAAACAGGCAGAATTGTCCAGACTAAAATCTCATTATCTGAGAATGATTTTTGTGCAAAAATCTGTAATGGACGTGTTTTGTATAGAACTTTTCTAGCCTGTTCAGGAGAGCATAATAAGTCGCCTTCAAACATTTGTCTTACTCACTGAATTTAATTGATGTGGGATTTCAAAACAAAAACAGAGGTTTGAATTTTCTTTTGTGTAGACATTCCTTTCACACCTTCACCAGGCAGAAACCACTTTCTGTGGTTTGGAGCCAAGAAACTCATTTCTAAAACCTGGATTTCCTGTCTGTCAATATCTCACCTGAACTTGCAGCAGTAGCCCCACCTATGGTTTGCTGCTTAGTTTTATTAAATCAAAAGTTTACAAAAAATAAATAAATTCTGAGTAAAATTTCAAATTAGGTGCGACAAGAGTGAATAATATATTCATCTATAATGGCTGAAGAGGCATTAAATAGACAGGCGTGATTCTGGAGATATTTACAAGGCCTTGCAAAAGTTTCCATGAATTTTTTCACATTTTGTCAACAGCAAACTTCAGGAAGTTTTTGAAGGAAGTGCAAATTTGTGAAGTGGAAGGAAAATGATGCATTTACTATTTCAGTTAATAAAAACATTACACGTGTGGCATTTATTTACATTATCAGATTTATAATTTCTTTTCACTTATTCTTTATTTTTGCAATAAAAGAAAAAACGTGGAAATGTTCAGAGATCATTTATGGAAAACTTGACATGAAACTCGCCTCTGTCAGAGGAAAGTTTTGTTGTCTTCTCTGTGTCAAATTATTCAGTTTAATTCATCTCCGTCTGGTTGCATTACCCTAAAGTTGCGTCTGTAATTCATTTATTTTCATTTATAACATGAAACAGCTTAATAATTTTGTCTGTTTAATGATATTTGACAATTACATTTTATTGCAACTCAAAAACTGGAGTTGAGGATGTAAAAAATTAGATTTTTTTTATTATTTTGTGCTCCTATTCTTTCTAGTCGTCCTTTAGGTAATTCTTAAAGCACAGCTGATGTTGAGTGTTGTTATGAAGCTCAGATCCAACCAGATGGTCGGTTCTCTCTGTGTTTGTTTGATTAAATGCACTGGACTGGCTGTTGGTGTTTTCTGAAATGTCAGCAGGTTTTCAGGTTATCATTCAATCTGTAGCTCAGATTATTCAACCCATTGCTCAGGAAAGTGGGGCAGATGTAAGGAAGAGTTTACATTTCAAGAGAAATGTTTGATAAGAGCAGGAATAATTGGGCTCTGCTTAATGGACGGTTTAAATTTGACGGATTCTTCCTGCTTGTTTTCTTCTCTTGTATATTGTGATGCTGTAACGGCCACAAAGCAAGTCAAATTGCCTTTCACGTGTTACAAAGCTGGATTTATTATTTGTTGTACACATAAATTCGGTGAATAACCTACTTCTTTCATTCTTTTTGTTTGTTCTGTTCAATTTGTAGAGCAGAAATTTCACCCAGACGGAATTGAAGTCGTAATGACCCCGTCTGTCATTATCTGCAGTTGTGAGGATAAAAAGCCTTTGTGAAATTGGATGGATGCTTTCCCATTAGCTGGAAACGAGGACAAGCAAAAGGAAAAAAGAATTCAACATCTTTTATTTTTTTATCAAGAATAAAACCTGTCAGTGGGTCTGCTTTGTGGCAATAGTGGTAACGATTGTGTCAAACCTGTTCTGCGTGGACATGCTGCTGCTGTTGGGCTGATTTATTTCCTCTCTTTACAGGAAGTATCGCTAAATTATAGTTTTTTTCTCCCTGCGTCCTGCTAGGTTCTGGAAAAGTTCATGTCCCGTTTGGTTCAGAGCCGAGTGATGGGCCACAAGGACCT